TCTAGTAGACGTTGTAGATCTTTTGTGCCCAGACAAGAAAAAAGAGTTTGAGAAAGTGAGCTTATCGCGACTTACTGTTGTTCGACGTATTAATATGGTAACTAGTGATATCAAAAAAAAAAAAAAAACATTAACTGATACATTAGCTAGTTTTTAAGTATTTCAATTGCTTTGGATGAGAGTAGAGATTTATCTGACATAGCCCAGTTAGCTATTTTTATACGAAGTGTTGATGAAGAAGTTGCAGTGACAGGGGAATTACTGGATTTACCGCCGCTACAAAGAACCACTACTGGAAAAGAAATTTTTGCCGAAGTTTAAAATACTTTTAAGCAAAATGGTTTGCAGTGGTGTAAATTAGTTGGAGTGTGCACGGATGGTGCGCCTTAAATGGTCGGTTCACGGAAAGTTATTTAATAATTCTGCATTGCATTATTCACCATTCGATTAAAGGATGTCATGGACGTGGTAGTAAATACCATTGATTCCTATGATCTCGCAGTCTTAACCATCGCCAGTTTAACCCTTTAAAGCCTAGCGTGATCATATGAATTGGCAACTTTAATCGAATTAGGCCTATCGCTCTTTACTTCGCCTTCGACAAGGTTTAGTGAAAGTTGTGTCATCGTGTTTAGCACTTGCTGCTTTTTTCCAACAACATTTTACCGCTTTGTATTTTAACTACGTGTTGCAGCCATAATAGATTCGGACGTTAGATTTGTGTGAGTATGTTTTTGATGAAATACAATGTTATTTCACTTTTTGCATTGAAAATTAAACTTAGTTATCCTAACCTTTACATAGATGTTTGTAACTTTGATCTAGGTATTTTTTTTTTATAAAAAGGTTCATAATCAACATGTGTTCAAATGATCACGCTAGGCGTCAATGTAGGTAGTAGGCACTAATTACCAAATACGCAATTTCGATGCTCAGTTTAACTTTTTATTACATTTATTGTTCCAGCGGGATAACCTGGAGGAAGTCTTTGTAATGCTAAGTGACGACGACCACCAGGAAGTGTCTCAGATATTTATAGAAGCTAATGTGCTTACTGACCAAGATTTAGTAGACGAAGATGGATGACTCTTAGATAACTTATTAGACCTGCGTGCTGCTGTAGAAGATGTTTTAAAATTTAAGCCAATCAAAAGGAGAAGAAAAGAAACTATTCAAAAAACAGGACAATATGCTATGCATCTTAAAAAAATCAACCAGAAGTAAATGTCACCAAACGAGATCTAGAAGTTTTTAGCCATTCCAATCTTATCTCTATACAACAACTATTGAGATTCTCAAGGAGATATGAGCAACAAATATACATACACTTCTATTAGAAGAGACAGATTCCTCACTATTTCAATATTTTCACATAATCCTAATGCTTTTGGTCACCCACAGGATCTAAGGCCTGTTTGGACAATAAAGTAACTGATGAAGTTAGGCTGGATGGATTTCAGTATATCGTTGAGCTTTGCAATCGGCGCAAATGTGCTGGTATAAAGTATACAAAAACTACTATTTGAACCCAATGTGGGAAATGTAACGCAGGACTCTTTATAGAATATTTCAGGAATTTCTATGTTGTTTAAAATGATTGTAAATCTGTTAAGTTGTACTCGGCTTACAGATGTTAATTTAGAAAACACTTTGCATCTATGTACTAGTGACATTGACTCCAACATTGATCATCATGTTTCTCAGTTTTAAACTCAAATTTTTCATTTATTTTCATTTGATTTTTCTATCTTTATTTTATTAAACTATTATAATTAATAAATAAAAAAATGTGTCACTTTTTTGTTACTACCACTTGCCCATACCTGATACAGAGCAATAATATATACAACATGCAAATGCAGTCCATGTATTGTATAAAGTATTAAAAATAAAATTTTTCCATATATTTAAGATCAATTAAAATTGTAAAAATTATTTTTTGGAATTTTGTTTAATATTTGTATTTGTTTAAACTAATTTATCTTTGTTTACCTTAAATAACTTTTTCGAATTAATAACAAAATAATAATCTCGTTTGTTAATTAATTTGTTGAACATTATTTTTTAAATAATTGTCAACAGGTTCAAATACCAACTACTTTCTCCATTATCTTATTATGCATTAATAACCTTTAAAAATATAATATTAGATTTATGTACATCTTTTTTGAGTTTTTAAATATTAAGTTGGCGACATTATGGTCATTTATAAACATTTTTTTTGCAGTGATGCTGAAAAGGTGATCGTAAAAATATTCTTAAACCATTTTTATTATCCATTTGCCAATTTTATGCTAAGCTTATGAAATTCTTACTACTGAGACGTCAACTGGGATTCCTTAACTTTACAAGCTATTAATATTATAATAAAAATACAGTAAAAAGTTTATAAAATAGACTTCGTCCAAATAATCTTTAGTAATCGCAAAAACTAATAACTTAAAATATTAGGATAACTATAGAAGGATCATCTGCTTCTGCTTCGGAATTGTCGGTTTTCTTGTTTTAATCTGATAGGTTAAAACGACTAAACCGACAATTCCGGAAGCAGAAGCGGATGATTAAAACGCACCTGATATTTTGCTTGCTGCTGTCAGTGTCAGTGAATATTATTTTTAAAGTCACAGTTTATTGCTAAAGAATCAGTTAGCTCACTCGGACCAGTTGAAAGTTCCAAAATAATATCCACTCCAGGGATACAAATTCAGGATACGCAGAGGACTGCTGTTTTATTATAGGCGGTTGTCATATATTGTATTATCCGAGTTGCACAGTGTATAAACTGAAACATTGAGATCCAACGTGCCGACGCAGAGTGAGCGATCTGATTCTTTAGCTGTAAACTGTGTCACAGGGTTCAAAAGGGCCGCGCCCTATGTTGAACGTGTCGGACCTCTCTCTTGCCTCGTATAGTAATCAAAGTATGTGGTTTACGTACTGTCGGGACTCTGCGCAATCTAGATTTGGTGTTCCAATAAACCTCGGACTCAAAACTGTACTAAAACCTAGTGTTCCAACACACCCAAACTTAATCACAAACCAGTTTCTGTACTGTCAAATCAGTTCCTGGGTCTGAATAGGAACGAATTGTCAAGACATGCGCAAAACGAAAGTGAGCTCGTATAAGTGAGACCTACTCTGATAATTTCGTAATAATATTTGTTTTGATCACATACTTTGATTTTATTTTACTATACGGAGAATGGTCGCACTGCGCAGCTTTCTGAGTGCCTTTTAAAAGGAGATAGAAAACTCCGCCATTTTGATCCCTTATTACGTGTTGCCTACATCTTGGCGCAATATTTTTAATAGGTGCGTTTTAATCATCCGCTTCTGCTTCGGAATTGTCGGTTTTCTTGTTTTAATCTGACAGGTTAAAACGACTAAACCGACAATTCCGGAAGCAGAAGCGGATGATTGAAACGCCCCTTTTGGTTGCTGCTGTCAGTGTCAGTGAATATTATTTTTGGAGTCACAGTTTACTGCTAAAGAATCAGTTAGCTCACTCGGACCAGTTGAAAGTTCCAAAATAACATCCATCCCAGGGATACAAATTCAGGATACGCAGAAGACTGCTGTTTTATTATAGGCGGTTGTCATATATTGTATTATCCGAGTTGCGCAGTGTATAAACTGGAACATTGAGATCAAAAGTGCCGACGCAGAGTGAGCATAGGAATCAAAATGGCCGCGCCCTATGTTGGTGTCGGACCTCTCTCTTGCACCGTATAGTAATCAAAGTATGTGGTTTTGATCAATAAGGTAGAATACCTCCATGGTTGTGATAGCATTGATCGTAGTCTCGATTCAATAGACTATTATCTATCGTAATTTGGTTTTCACTCATTATCCTTATTTATAGTCTATTATTTTATACGTGTATCTGTTGACTTATTAATAATGAGTAATGAGTAAAGAAAGTAAAAAGGACTATTATTCTGACTTAAATATAGTAAACAAATAAAATAAATAAAGTTTCATGTACTAAACATTCAAATAATCAAAATTAATAAATTATTAAATGAGTTTTATAATTTTTTATTTCCCAAATTAAAAATTTTACATTTGCTAAATTTGTTTTAACATTCATGTCATTAACAAAGTGTATCAGGATAACAGCAAAATGTGTTCCAACACAACCAAGGTCCGAATTCAGTCCCAATCCTCGACAGGTCGTAGACAGGTCGTAGACAGGTCGTCGACAATAAGTTGTGGACTGGTTTATGTATGGTTCCAAGATTGTTGTTGGAACAAACCTAACTCTAAGAAAATAAGAATTATGAGTGATACCGACGATATCCAGTCTGAAAGGTCAGTGAAAGAAACAAAGAAATAGAAAAGAGGGGGTTAGAAATGACGACAATTATAAAAGGTGCAGAGTTCAGGGGAAGGCTTACGTAAATTACAAGAAAAATACTGAAAGCAAGAAAGTTTAGAGATGAATGCCGATAAGTTTGCAATCAGCAAATTCTTTCGGTAATTATGTAATGATCATTCTTTTTCGATTAGAACTCTCCAATATAATTACGCGGTTTCAATTTATTTGCTTGATAGCTGGTTAAACTTGATTTGTAATAATTGTTTATGATTGTTGTCCAATGAAATGCTTTGAAAAATTGAACGCTAATATAAAAGATGCGCTTCTTACTCGCTTTCGTGCCCTTGACAATAAGGATGATCAGGACATATATTTGCAAGGTCTTTCAGAAGTACTTAACATTAAAAGAAAATCTCAACCACAAAATCCAGAGAATTCAAAGGGAAAAACTTGTTATTTCCATCATTATGTCCCAGTTGATGGTAAACGAAGAAAGGTTGAAGCGTTTAAAAGATCTTCTAAAACAAAACATAACTCAATATGACAAGCGGGAACAAAATATAAAAGGCAATGCTATTTCAGAAGAGAACAACGTACTTATTCGTCACCATATTAAATCATTCTTGTTAAGGAAACTCATTACAGTAATAATACCTATCTATATCTTGATGATAAACTCAATATGAAAATTATGTTTGATATGTTTAAAGTAAAATATCCAACAACCAAAATTCGATATTCTTACTTTGTGAAATATTTTCATGAGCATTTCGACATTCACTTTGGCAGTCCAGTAGACACTTGTTGTAAGAGTAAAGAACTGGACCTTAAAATAAAAAGTCCTTCGCTAGGAGATGCAGCTAAAAGAGCAGCAGCTGCCGAACTTGCAATCCATAAAAGAAGAGCAAAAAAGTTTTATTTGTCGTTGAAGGAATCTACTGAGTGCAAGATTCGTGATGACCTGGTCGTAATAACATTTGACTACATGCAGAATGTTCACTTACTTGAAGTTCCAGTAGAGGATTTATTTTATCTAACACAACTAACAGTCATTATTTTTGGTATACACAACTGTAAGACTGACAAGTCATTCTTTTATATTTATCATGAAGGTGTTGCCAATAAGGGACCAAACGAGGTATGCTCGTTCCTGTGGGACTATATTAAACGTGAAATTTCAGAAAATGTCCAGGAATTACGTCTTTATAGTGATAATTGTCACAGGCAAAACAAAAATCGTACCATGATAGGCATGTGTGCAGCATTAGTTGAAATTAATAGATTTAATGACCGAGACTTTGGTGTCATTAAATGACGTTTAAAGCAATCCGATCGTATATTTTCTGTTCACGAATACACTGAAATATTAATAGCTTGTGTGTGCAGAAAAATTTTACTGTCATGGAAGTTTCAGGAGAAGAAATCATAGATTTCAAGCAATGGTGGCCCAAATTTAAAAAAAAAATGTTATGTCTCTGGAAACTTCAAAAAAAAACCCCAGGGCACAAAAGCAACCTTTTTTTGTATCGCAATTTTGGCATTTTCGTTATAACTCCTATATATGACATGTGCTCAGAATTTATTGGAGGTCTGACGAACCATAATTTTAAGATCCATATGACAAGAAATGTCGAAAGAGTTCCAGTTAGAATGCCTGAAAAAACCCCCATCAAGAGAAAGTTCCAATATTGGAAACAAAAATAACAAATATCGGTAAAGCGATGTCATATGTTCCATTCTATCAAGAAATTTTGGAATGGCCTACAAAAGTTTCCAAAAGAAAGCTATTGCATTACAAGCTTAATACAAATTATGTTTTCAATAAATCTTTAATGTTTAAACATTATTATTTTTATTGGGGTAATTCGTTCAAAAACAACTCACTGTTTAATAATTTAGTGATAACGCCAAGTTGATTCCTTAAAAAAATAATATTTTCCATTTATTTGCAATTTTTTGTAATCTAATTTTTCAGTCATTATCAAAAAAATACATAGAAAACATCTAAGCAACTCTATCTTGAACTAATTATGTCAAAAAAATAGCATTATCACATTTTATTAAACTACAAATAAGTTTTTAATCACTTTCTCAAAAGTAAAAAAATGTTATTTAATAACTTTCTGAAATAAACAATTCAATTAAAAATATTAAAAGTTTTAGTTGCAAGATATAAAATGTAAAAAGCCTTAACGAAAACAGTTCACCAATGCACCTTATGACACAGCATTATAGTAGCATGGGAATATTTTTTTTACATTCCTGATTAAGTTACCCCTTGTGTCGGCCTTGACTTAATTTCGCTCTTGAAATCTGTCGATATAAAAAGTGTACAAACAGTTGCCAAGGGAAGCAAATGTGAAAAAAACTCATTTCACATATGTGGTACATATGGCGAAGGTTTTTTTTTTTTCGTAATGGGCGGAAAGGATTTCGGTGAAAGTTTTTCCGTTCAATTTCTACCTAGAAACTGCGGGTGCCCGGTCGAAAATGTATTCTATATAAAGTATTTTAAAATTTTCTTAGGAATGTTAAATGCATTAGTAAAATTACCTTCCTTTTGACTTGGCAGTTGAATCTATTCTATTCTTGTTGTGAATGCAATACTAACATTAAAATACAGGGTGGCATATTAGCACTTTTGTTAATAATATTGATAAAACAAAAACGACATGTTAGGATTTTTGTTTGGTTTTCGCTTAACACCTAATTTTTTTTATTTAAAATATTTAATAATTTATAGCCTCATTTAAAAAACTTTAAGATATAAATTTAGGTAAAAATTGAAAAGGACAAATATCTTTCAAACATATTATTAAGATACAAAACTAGTGAACGTTGGTTTTTTTATTAATTAAATTATTTTTAGAAAAACTTGATGGAGGGTGTTGAAATTTATATTTTTATTTTCTTCTGAACTAGGTAGAAATTAAAAAATAATAATCCACTTGAGTTGTACAGTTTATTTTTTCTACGACCCACTAACGAAAATTTACAAATTTTAATAATTATTTTAGGTTATTAAGATAAAATGAATAAGTTATGTTCTTTAATAATTTATAAAATAAAATTAAGAAAAGATATTTAGTCAAATTAGTCTTTAGCCCAGATTGAGTCGCGTAGCGCCATAGTGGCCCAACTGTAAATTTTCACTATTTGTGGTATTTTATTCATATTCTGTGTATATTTGCCTAAATTTTAAAACTAGACCAGACAAAATGAGCTTTCTTCTGGTGCAAGGAAAACAGTTGAGCCACAATCAGTTTGTGACATCATTTTAAAATCAGCTGTCATAGAGTTTCCTGTCTTAATACTTTAGATCATTAAAATTCTGTACTTATTCAGTAAAATTTGAACTTCTCTTAGCAGATGAACAGGTGAGTGTTGTAGCTCTCTTTTGTATCAGTAGCAAACAGTCTTACGGTTGAATCTAAAGTTGAATCTAAATATATAATACGAGTATATTAAATAAAATAGTAATATTTTCCCAATATTTTTATAAAAAATCCTAATCAATTTACATAACCTATGCAGTCATTGCGGGTTGCTACGCAAAAAATATTCATGAAATAAGAAAAATAAAAAATTACTTAACCTCAACGGCCTGAAGCCATAATGGGTGGTTTTACAACAAAAATATGCATAAAATGAGAAAAATAAAAAAACTTAACTAATTTAGCCAGCCTGTGCGAACTGGCGCCATTTTTTTTCTAAACCAACTTTGACACAGATAAAATCTGCATCCGACATTAATTTTGCTGGGCGCATATGACTAAGGTGCATTTGTCGGAGTATTTGATGGGTTACCATCATAGGTGCCGGAATTCAAACATCGCTTTGGGTGCCCGGATTCTATGCGGAAAATGCGGCTATTCGTATTTAAATCTTGTAATTGCAATAATTCTTGTAAATTAAATGGGCTTGTAATCCTTACTTTTTTACAATAAATATAATTATTTATTTGTTGAATGAAAGTATTCATTTTATTTATTATTAAGTACCAGTTTAAAGTGATGTGTTCTAATGAACCTTCTTTGCCGCATTCACATAAAGGACTATCTGCTAACTTAATTTTAAATTTATGTGATGGACATAGAGCGTGAATAAATCTAAGTCTACATATAATTCTAATAATATTTTTGTCGAACTTAGAGTTATTAAACCAAGCTACAAATGGAATTTTTGGTTGAATAATTTTATAATACATACCTTTAAAACTTGCATTATATATTTCTTGCAAATTATTGTTAGACTCCTTTTTTATTAAAGCAATTTGTCTTTATTTTTACATTTATAATTTGAATCTAGATTTTCTTCATTGTATTTCGCAACATTATCAACTATTTCATTGTTTTTAATGCCGCAGTGCGCTTTAATCCGACATAGTTTAATTTTACTACCTCTTGAACTTAAAATTCCAATAATATTTATGATTTCAGGTAACAAATAATTATATTTGATATTATATTCCTTTGGAACATTTTCAATTACTTTTATTGAATTCTTACTATCTGAAAATATAGCATAATCTTCTGTTAAATTAGTTTTTATATATTTAAGGGTTCCATATTATTCTGCGCATGTCCCTAAATAAGCGGCAAATACGTCAAACTGACATATGTGAATTGTCAATGGATTAATAGTAGTTGATTGTTTTAATTATCTGATTGGTTGTAATGCACATTTTAATACATTTTTAGTTTTTTCTATATTTAGACTTAGTTTTCATCTTTAATTTATTGTGTGATATATTATTCAAAAAGGGACAATATACTTAAAAGTTACTTTTTTCAGTGTAGAAATAAAAGCGACAAAAACGTTAACTGTCAATAAAAATCTGACTACTCCGACATCAAAAGAGCCGACTCAAGCTGTCGCTACTGTATTATTAATTATACTGGGACGGAGCTATGTTGATGTTTAGAGTCATAGAAGGCAGTTGAAACTTTTGAAGCAGTTTTGTCGGCATTGTAAATATGTAAGAATGGTTTGGATACAGCTCGGTAATAGAGTTAAACATCTGATTACGAATCATGGACGGATATTTGGAAAAGTCTCTTAAATATGTCACATTATTGTTATCAAAATTTGTCAAATCAATATTACAATATGGTAAGTTTGTTGATGCATATAATTTTCTAGATGCTGCGATGAAATATATGAATAAATGTATTGTAGTTTTCTTTCTCCATTATTCTTTAGTAAAACCGAAAATTTTTAATTTGTGACATTTTTAAACGATATTTTGCTAAACATGTGAAATAAAAATTTATTGGTTAATCGCTGTCGTCTACAAATTGAGGAGGTTCCATACATTTCACTTGTAAATTTGAGATTGGGGTACTTTTTAGGGCACCTATACATAATCTAAGGCATTTATTTACCATTACATCAATTTTTTGGATATGAACCTTGGCTGCTTGGCTATAGAAGATTGAATCATAGTCTAAAATTGATCTAATCTATAGTCTATTTTTATGTATGAGAGAGTATTAAAATAATAAAGCGTTCGTAATCCATAGGCGTAACACTTCTTTTAGTAGACAGTTAAAATATTTTTTGAAGTTATTCCGCGAGTATACACTTATATTTTCACCTAATTAACCTGCTTATAACTTCTAAACAGCTGAAGGTAAAAAAGTGCAATTTTTTCTAAAATGTTTTATTTTTCTACAAGGTATGTTAAGAATATTGTGTCAAACGGGTTATGTAGGTATAAGGGTTTACACTTTGACTTTTAAACAACATTACGTTCATAAATAATAATTTTAATATAAAAACTACTTCTTACCCACAAATCTAAATCAGAATCGAAATCAGAAGATGAACTGTCGCAACCAATATTTACAATGAGTGGCTCGATCATTTCATCAGTAATATTGTCAAACTTTCACATTTTCTCTTCTTCTTTAATCGTATGATTTACTGCCTTTTCCCAGTTTTCAGGCTTCACATTATTTACAGCCTCCAAAAACAACTGTTTAACATCACTTATTTTAAAAGAATTATTTTTTCTTGAAACTTCTCCCTTTATCTGTGCCCATATCAGTTCAATCGGGTTTACTTCGCAATGACATGGTGGTGATCTAACCACCGTCATCCCACGATTTTTTGCAATTTCATCAATTTCATATTTTTTGAATTTCTCTTTATGAAGGGAACACAAATGATACGGTTCTTTTCTCACAGAACCGGAATGGAACTTAATATTCTTTGAATTTAGCCAATTCTGTAAATCTTTTTTTAACCACTTGGTTGTGGGCATTTTTTCTATAAATCTCGAGTGATAACTTGCTTTATCCATTACTATTATACAGTTCTGAGGAAGAAGATCTATAGTTTGTTCGAACCACTCTTTAAAGACATCAGCATTCATGTCCTCATGGTAGTCACCGGTACGAGTAGATTCAACAGCCAATAAACCACCTTTAACAAAACCGTTTGAACTACCGATGTGTACTATTATTAGTCTGCGCCCCTTTCCCGATGGTGGATTTAAACCAGTAGATAAATTATTTAAAAAAGCCTGTCTTCGACTTGTAACAGTTTCATCTTGCCAAAATTTATTTGGTTTATGTCCCTCGTTGATCCATGTTTCATCTAAATAAAATATATTTCTTCTTTGGTTTCTCATTTCTTTTATAGTCCTTAGGTAATTTCTTATCCATACTACAATATCGCTTCTTTCTATTAAAATAGGCTTTCTGGAATGCTTTTTGCATAGAAAACCTATTTCTTTTAAAAGTTTCCATAGTTTGCTTCGACTCATTTCAGGATAATCCTTATCATCTCGAACCGTAGCAAGAACTTTGTCTGCTGTCGGAAATTCTTTTCTAAAGAAGAACGCATGCACTTTCCTTCGAAGTCTTTCTTTCAAAAGATTTTCTAATTGAAATTTTGGTTTTCCTGGAGCTTTACGTACTGTTTGAAACTCGCCACATTTCTCTTCTTTAACAACTCTGTAAATCGTAGATTTCCCAACACCAAACGTACTACTAACTAATTCCACTGTGTCATCAACACTTTTACATAAATGTTTGTCTGTAAATGATTTAAAACAATTAAATATTAATGTTTTTTCATTAACTGTTAAAGGACCGATTTTTTGTCGTTTACGCGGCCCTTCCAAATTTTCCATGATTATACTAGAATTCACACTGCACCTTGCAAGTTTCAACTAAACGACATTTAGTAAACTGTCAAGAATACACAACTTGGACTTCCTTACTAAATGGAAAACCTATAATCGCATTTTGGGTGAAATTTGTTGGGAAGGTATTTATCTACTTATAATTCGATTACTCTAAGAAATTCTTGGAATTAAAATAAAACAAAATTGGCAAATAGGTACTTATTGAAAATAATCTTAAAATACGGCTATGTAATCTTTAATACACAGGGTTTTTGGCCTGTCCAAACCTTTTTCTATTGTTCTGTACAGCTTATGTTTATAAAGGACCAATAAAAGACCCAAAACTTGTAATAGCTCAGGTACATTTATTACAATTTTAGGAAATATTTAGATTATTCTGTAAAAATATTTAAAATGACCGTACTAAGTTTTGCATTAGAAATGCTGTTTTATTACTCTCTCATACATAAAAATAGACATTAGACTTTGTTTAACGTAAGAGATATATTAGGATCTGATCCCAAGTTGTATGGCATACTGCTCTTAAAGCGTATAGTCCTTTTTCAGCTTTTCTTATAATATGTTCTATTTGATCCTTTTATAATAATTTTCTGTCGATTACCATACCCAGATACTTAACCAAAGACTGAACTTCGAAGAAACTATTGTCCAGAACTAATGAATGTGAAATTATATAGTTTTTTTTTTAAATATGCAAATTTGGGTTTTATTTTTTGATATGTTGAGTCCCTTATTGGAATAATAGTTGTGCATTAAACCATACATTTATTTAACTTGTTAATGCCCCGATCTATAGCGAAAGTAAAAGTTGGAAAGGCTTATGGTAGGTAGAGAGGGGGTAAACGTCAAACCACGTCGGACGGCTTCGAGAATTTCGCAATAATGTTTACCTGCCAGTGTCGTTTCATAGAATAAGTAATTTCAAGTTGTTATCGGCGGAACCGGACAATCGCATGTATTTATGGACTATAAATAATTATTAAACATGTATTATAATATTCAAATCATAATTTTGCAAAATTTCAATAGCTATTCACAATTTATTAAACTATTTACTCGAAATGTATCGCGTCTACTTCACTGAGATCCGCCGCAAACCTGTCAATTTATGTGTATAAAGTGGGAGAACTGGCAAAAGCCTTTCCAATTTTTACTTCTGCTATACATCTGTGTTGTCAACGTATAGACAGCAAATTGTAGGATTTGTCCGTCTGCTGCTATTGT